TCTCCCAAAGTGCCGTGGGTGGGCTTGAACCACCTATCCGGCAGCCAAGTGTGTTAGCCATTTGCATCATCCGCAGAATCTGTTGACAATAATAGTTTGTCCAGTTTCTTAGCTACAACATGGGGTTCATAGATTGTGAGGATGAAATGAGACAATCCACGGCACTGTGGGTTAATGCGCCAGACTGCAAAGCCATTTGAACTGCAAGGTTGGCGGTTCAAGCTCACCACGCGCTCTTCGGAAACCCTATACAAAGTCGCTATGGGTCGGAACCGACTCGATGACACTTAACAACTACAACAACAACTCACAACACTTAAGTAGAAGAAACCACTAATTGGAATTCCTGTTAAATAGCAAACACTCAATTTAATTTTCCCAGGATCTACTGCGCAAATATGAGGGTGGAGGGATGGGGGAGGGGAGGAGGTAAGGCCCTGAGGCTAGAGATTGGTAATTGCATAAAATAACAACATGAAGTTATTTTAAAGGCAGAAATCCTCCAGGTGATGTGGCACCAGTCACGAAGGATCAGAAAAAGTCACGGACGCTTGACTATTACCTTCCCAAAAGGAATAATCAGTTTTTGAAAATCTGGCTGAAAAAATACCCATGGCTTGTGTATGATGAGATCTTAAATCTCATGTTCTGTAGCCTGTGTCGTAAGCACGGTGTGAAGTCACGGGGAAGCCAGGTGAGTTTCTTCTATGGTACTGACAACTTTCGGACTGAGTTTCTCAGTGCACACCACCTCAGCGAGGCACATGCTAAGGCTTCGTTGATGGAAGCAACAAGTGGTTCTCCAGTGAACAGAGCCACCACTGAGCTGATGGTGAGGACCATGAGCAAGGTCACCCTGGGCCGAGTGGAGAACTTATTCAGATCATGTCACGCGATTGCCAAAACCGGCCATCCCCTCAAAGACTTTATTTGGATGTGCAACTTGGATGATATGAAGGGAGTTGACATTGGCCCAGTATTCAGAACGAATAAATCAGCGAGAATGTTTGCTTATTTTATAGCTGAAGTAGAACGGAGAAACCTAAGGGAGAAGCTAGAAAAATGTAAATTTTTCTCCGTCATCAGCGACGGAGTCACAGACACTTTAATCAAGGAAGCCGAACTTGTCTACGTGCAGTTTGCCCATGCAGGGAAAGTACATTGCCAAATTGTTGGGGTGCAGACAGTGGAAAAGCAGGATCCTCTAGCAATCAAAAACGCCATTGAGAAAACTCTGGAGCTAAATCTTCAACTCAGGTTGTCGAGCCAAGACTGGGCCAAGAAATTGGTTGGTTTTGGAAGTGATGGCGCTCCTGTCATGGAGGGTGAGAACAATGGAGTGGCCTTGCTTTTAAGAGAAATCCAGCCATGTGTGCAGATTGTACACTGCTTTGCACATCGCCTAGAGCTCTCTTACAAGGAGGTGTTCCAGAGCATTCCGTTGTACAACAATGTTAGAGAGCTCCTCCACAACATTTATCATTTCTATCACCAGTCTGCTCTCCACAAGAGTTCCCTGATAACTGCATTCAAAGGCCTTCACCTTCGACCTGTAATGCCTTCTCAAATTGGAAGCAGGAAGTGGCTTCACAGATTACAGGCAGCCCTCCAGAACTTTCTTAAGGGATATCCTGCAATTGTCCAGCAACTGCATTCAGTAAGTAATTTTGAAATACCATATTATTTTCTTTTTCAGAATAACAAAATGCTTTTGTTGTACTCTAAACACTAATTCTGAGAAAGTTAAACCACTATGTTATTCCCAACCTGTGTTATAGGCAAGTGAAGGCAGCAGTGAAGCCAGTCAACAGAAAGCCAAAGAACTTCTAGAGTTACTTCTCCAAAATGATATCATTAAGTTTGCCCATTTCTTGGTGGATGTCATTAATGTCCTCAGTATTCTGTCCCGTGTCAATCAGAACAGAAATTCCTCAATCGCTGACGTATTTGCCACTTTAGAGTCAACACTGGAAATGCTCAGAATTTATCAGTCCAGGTGAGGGCTTGGGAATGATCTAAGGCTCTGTCTACCAAACAGTCTGATTTGGGAAATTATTTGCCAGGTACTTCTTCATGTAAATTTTTGTTGGGTTGGGGGGGATTTTTTTTCCCCTAGACCGGGGCCAAAAGAACGCAGGGTGGATTCAGCCACACAGTTTCATGGCCATAACCTTAGAGGAAAGGGAAGCATTTCTTCTGTGAGAACCATGATGTTAACACATCTCATCAAAAAGCTGCGAGGCTGTTTCCAAGATGCTAGCCATGATGTGGTAAGAGCTACCATGATTGGAAGCTTCAAACTCTGGCCTGGAAAGATTAGTCAAGGTAACTCATTCACCTTGAGCCTAAAGCCACTGTTGTTCGACTACTCGCATGAGCGCCTTTCATATAGGTGTCCTTTGCTTTAATTGCAGAATTTGGAGAAAAGGAAGTATCAATCCTGGTTGCACATTATGAGCCAGTGTTGGAAGCTGCCAATGTGAAGATCGATGAAGTGGACACTGAATGGAGCATGTTGAAATTGGAGATCTATGCCAGGTAAGGAAGCAAATAAACTGAATAAACTGGTGGATATTTATAAATATTTGGGTAAAACTTGGGTGCTCTAAATCTTTTACATTTTTCATGTTCTCTTCTAGATTTCAGAACATACGCAAGTTAACCTGGGATTTTGTGAATTCTGTTTATTTACACAAGTATCCGAATATCCTGACTCTGGTAGACCTAGTATTGAGTCTTCCTGCAAGCTCAGCTGAAACAGAACGAGGCTTTAGTCAGATGAAACGCACCAATTCACATATGCATGTGAAAATCAAGGCTGAGAGTATGACAGATCTCCTGATAATTCAGCTGAATTCTCCAGACATAAATAACTTTGACCCTAGGAAAGCTATCCACTTGTGGAATACACGAATACCATCTTCAACCGGAGATACAAGATCTAACTCTGATTGTTCATCAGACTCAGAAAGCCATTCTGAAAGTGATTAGTAATATGAAAAATATCAACTTCGTCATTGAGCAAAAAAAGATTTCCAACAAATTGAAATAGTAAAGGAAAACAGAACCTAGCCTTCATCAAACAGAAAAGACATTTGACATCTTCCAAACACAAAGAAATCCTCAACAATTGATTTCCTATAACTTTAACTATCACTTCTGTCTCCTCATACTCATTCTTATACTTTGGGTGGAGGGGCATGCTCTTAAGCAGTGACCGTATTTTGATGCTAACTTTCTGATAGTTCTTGTTAAAGGTGGCTGTTGTTAGGGGCTGTTGAGTCAGTTCTGACACACAAAGTACTGAGCAACGAAACACTGGCCAGTCTGGCCTCGTCCTCAAAGTTGTTGCTATGTTTGAGCCCATTGCTTCCATAATGTCAGGCTAGCTCCTTGAGGGTCTTCCTCTATTTTGCTGACTTCAGTTGGGACTGGCAAACTAGCTGTTTACCCTGGATAATTATAAAAGACTCTTTGCATTAGATAGCTAACATTTGGGCAACATTAAAGACTTTCTTTTGTGTCCATGAACAAAACTTGTAAATGCTTCTGTTACTTCTCTGTATGTGGAAATCATATATCACTGCATGCCTTGGACATTTAGATAAAATAGCTAAACTTAAAATTTTGTTCACATTTTGAGTGAAGAGGCCCCGATTAACAATGTCTTTGTAAATCAAATGTACTGTTTTATAACACTTTTTGCTTTCACTGGCCACCATTAGAAACAATGGAAATATATTCTTCACTCATTAGAATTTTAAAATTCTTTGAGCCTTCTCATGATTCCAACAGTTTTTATTGATGGTTTCATCTCGATGGGTGAGGTATTTCTAAGTGAACTAAAAACCAGTGTTGTATATGAAGCTCACTTTACTGAAAATTTTACTATCCAGAAAATATTTTCATCTCTATTAAACTAGATATTCAGGTTGGATGAAACAGGATAAAGAATGTATTCTGAACAGCCAGCTGGATAGCCAATCATATCAAAGAAAGAAATGTTCTGCTCTTGCTACTCAGAAAATTACCTTCCAGATCTCAAAATTGTACATGTTGTTTGAACTCCTGAAATTTTAACAGGATCAGTGCATGTTCCAAAAGGTTAGAGGAAATGAGGTAGGACTTTTAGAAATGCTAAACACTTAGATGTAAAAGGAACAAATGGAGATGCTATGTCTTTGTTTACATTTTTTATTCCTATACAAAGAAGAATAGCTATGTATTCTGGACCTGAAAGATACCCGAACGCACCTTGGAGTCTCTTCTGGCTCTAAAGGTATCTCTGCTGTCTGGTGGTAGTGTTTAAAGCTTTAAAGCACATTCGCTTCTTTAGTGTTCTTGTTTCTTTGGTAATGCATATGCATGTAATTTGAATTGAGAGCTGACAAAATAGACATTTGATTTTGGGTAAAGTAGATTAGAATATAAGAACAAAACATCTCAAAGGTTAATGATCTTTTATGATATACCTGGAAATACTGAGGCCATTAAGTGATTAAATTAGCACCTTCCAATCTGTAATATAACAATCCAAATCTCCCTCCCTTGGCAAAAGCAAATAGATTGTGATCTACTGGGCAATACGAAGACACGTGTATTGCCTTGCTCACAGTGGTGATTTGCATACATCAGAAACACTTTCATCCCATATTTACCTCAAATGTTTACTCTTATGCCCTGTTGCTTACAAGAAACCTTAAAGGAAAAAAAAAAATTAAGTATCCAATCTACCCTATTTAAAAGGTCAAAGGAGACTCCAAACAATAGAATTAATTCTCAGTACTTTTTCCAATCTGGAGTGCATGACTACTAAGCCAAAAACAACAACAACAACATTTTGACTTAGCTGAGAACCAAAAATGTGAGACAATCATGAAATCCATTTTTAATTGGGGTTTTCAAAACATTTTTGAGTTCTCTAAAAGTTATTTTTTAAAATATAGGAACAAAATTATTTTACAGAGAAGAAAACAGCATATTTTTCCTTGTATTGCTAGGCATCATTGGAAGTAAAGCCTTTGCTGATATTCTGCTTGACTTGGTGACCCTGAACCTTGGAACAAACAACTTTCCTAGTAGCTGGATGCACCTCACTCAACCTGAAGTAAGCTCCCATTGTTTTTGTGTCTTACTGTTGGGATTTCCAAGTTTTGAGTGTTCTTATTTGACCAATGAGTAAATAGTCATAAAATAAGTAGTCCTGCACAGTTTCTGCAAGTTGATAGATCAGCAATAAAAATAAAAACTTCAAATGAAGGCATATCATATGGACATGTTCAATTTTTTGAAGAATGAATGGCATCAACAGTTTATGAGGTGTTCCCAAGGCTCAACAGCTGAGTTTGTATCTATTATTACAAGGTGGACTCATCCTAATTAGTGATAATGAATGAGCTGGTAGTCTTGGCTATTTCTCATAGTGTGTGCCTTAAAAACATACCAGAAAACAAAATGTGAAAGATGATTTTCCCTGTGCCCGAAAGAGCCCATGCACAGACGACAGTTGTTCCATCTCTAAGTGTAAAGTACAAAGTGGGTGGATTCATATATGTCCATTAGTTGTGTGTTGCTGTTAATTGTGTAACAGTTAGTTGGATTGGTTGCATAAAAGCAAGCAAAATTCACAAGTGTCAAGGAAGCAAAAGTGAAACATGTTCTAGGTGCCTGCTATCTGGTATGTGGATGGGTTGGTAGAACCTAGGCTGACAAAAGTCAGGACTGGCTCTACTTGCCAGAATAAAAGCCTACTTCTTGCTTCTGAACTTCTTACTATGAAAATCTAAGCAAGGACAGCTTCAACATAGAGGCATACATACATCCCAATGCTGTTTCCTGTTTTCTTCAGTTACAGGAGCTAACATCTTTATTAGTAGTGAACTCAGAATTCGTGAACTGGCGGAAATTCCTGTTAGTCATCTCCATGCCTTGGCCCATCCCCCTGGAAGAAGAGCTCCTTGAGACCCTGCAGAGGTTCAAGGATGTGGATGAGGAGCAGCTGGGCGTGGTCACTTTCGAGCAATATAGTCAGGTGGTATTAATACCAAAGTACTCTTTATCTAAGATATGTGTTACTCACTGATGTTCTATCCCTGAGCTGTCCATGTGAAGGCACCCAGAAGCCAAACAAAAACAAACCTTAGTGAGCTTGCCAACCTTCACTCTGTATAGTATGTGGCGATTAACACAGGATATTAATTTTAACATCCTTTTGCACAAACATGAGAAGAACAAAGTGCTGAGCCCAAACCAGAAAGCTCCTTTGCTAAAGGTGTGAATTTCTTTAAAAAGGTTATATACTGTATTTAATCAAGGAGCTCTGGTGGTGCTGTGGGTCAGGCACTGGTGATAGAAACTTAGAAATACTGACTCCAACAACTCCTATGTTTTGGGGACTGGTTTCTGAGCTTTGCCTACCTACTTCTCATTTTTATGTAATCTCAGACCCATTTAACAACCCCAAATACACTTTTATTGGTTCCCGATACTTGCCAGTACCCCTCCAAAAATACTCATGGAGTAAGTTAAACCAGTTTCTGGGGTAAAACTTTATAAAATTGGTTGAAAATGTCACATTGGAACCCTAAAACAATATAACTGTTGCTAGCATAAAGTTCTCTGTGAAAACAAGGCTCTATATTATGCTTTCAGGAGCCCTGGTGGTGGTGTAGATTAAGTACTGGACTGCTTACCTCAAAGTCAGGTCTTCAAGTACCTCAGGACAAAGATAAGGTTTTCTGCTGTCATGAAGATTGATAGCTTCAGAAACCTAGAAAACTAGATGGCGGTGGGTTATCATGTTGTTTTTCTTGCTCTCTCTCTTTTTTCTTTTAACTAATTACAAGTCCACAATTGCAGTTACTTAAGATTATGACTGATTTCCCCAAATTCTAAGATAGAATAAAAGAACTGCGTTTGTGACATCGGGCAGGCCATGAGAGGAAAAGAAAGCCTGACTACCTTTGCTCTCAGCCTTGCTGCCCCTGTCTCAAGCTTCCCTCTGTTGGGTGTCAATGTTTAGGCACACTGCTGTTGAATTCTTTGATGTTGAAATATCTACTCATCCTTTGTCTGTGAGAATGCATGTTATTATGACAGTAATGAGCTAGATGTTTTAAAATCCAAACAGCACAGTATAGTCTATAAAGAGAAGAAAAATTCCAAAATTTCTTTGGTCATGTTTTATATGTTTTATTTTAAAACCTTTTACAGTGAATGGAGTGAAGGTTTATAGAATAGATCATCAGTTTTACATTCTACAAATCATAACTTTGCTTCATTACATTGATTGCAATCCCCTCCATGCCTCGGTCTCCCACTACCTTCATCTTTCCTCTCCTAATCTCCCTCTATGGTATACTGCCTGCCATTCCCCACATTAACATGTGTCTACCCTCTAGCCCCCCACCATTGTCTGTCAGTTTGTCCATGCTGTGGCAGCTTGTGTTGTGTTGTGTTGTGTGATTCTGAAAGCTATGCCACCAGTATTTTAAATACCAGCAGATTCACCCACAGAGGATATATTTCAGATGAGCTTCCAGATGAAGACAGACGAGGAAGAAGGAGAGACAGACTGTTTCCAAATATTTAGTCACTGAAAACCTTATGAATACCAGTGAAATACTGTCAGATATAGTGCCAGAAAATGAGGCCCTCAGGTTGGAAGTCACTCAAAATGCAATTGAGAAAAGAGCTGTCTTCTCAAAGTAGAGCTGACTGTGATGACGCAAATGTAGGAAAGCCCTCAGGACCTTCATTTGCTGATGGGCACAACTCAAAATGAAGAGAAACAGCTGTAACATCTATTAATAATTGGAACATGGAATATACCAAGTACAAATCTAGGAAAATTGGAAATTGTCAAAAACAGAAAAGAAGACAAAAGCATCAATACCCTAGGCATTAATGAGCTGAAATAGAAGGGTATTGGTGAATCTAACAGACACATGGTATACTATGCTAGGAATGACAAATTGAAGATAAATGGTGTTGCATTCATCATCAAAAAGAGCATACAAAGCTCTGTCAAAAGGTACAATGCTATCTGTGATACAATAATATCCATGCGCCTATAGGAAGACAAGTTAATACCACTATTATTCAACTTTACGCACCAACCACCATATCCCTTGAGGATGAAATTGAAGGATTTTACCAACTTCTTCAGTCTGAAATTGATCAAACATATAATCAAGATGTATTGATAATTACTGGCAATTTAAATGCAGAGGTTTGAAACAAAGAAGAAGGATCAGTAATTGGAAAATACGGCCTTGGTGATAGAAATGATGCTGGAGATTGCATGATAGAATTCTGCAAGATGAATGATTTGTTCATTTCAAAAACATTTTTTAAACAGTGTAAAAGATGACTATGTACATTGACCTCACCACATGGAATACAGATAAATCAAATTGACTATATCTATGGAAAGAGATGGTGGAAAAACTCCTTATCATAAACCAAAACAAGGTCAGAGGCAGTTTGTGGAACAGAGAATCAATTGCTCATATGCAAATTCAGAGTAAAGCTGAAGAAAATGAAAACAAGTCCACAAGAGCCAAAATATGACCTTGAATATATCCCACCTGAATTTAGAGATCATCTGAGGAAATCTGAGGTATTAGACACTAAAGACAGAAGACCAGAAGAGTTGTGGAATGACATCAAGAACATAATTCAGGAAGAAAGCAAAAAGTCATTAAGAAGACAAGAAAGAAGGAAGAGATCAAAATGAATATCAGAAGAGAATCTGAAACTTGCTCTCCAGCGCAGAGATGCTAAAGAAAAAGGAAGAAGTGAGGAATTACAAGAACTGAACAGGAAATTTCAAAGGTCAGCTCAAGAAGACAAAGTCAAATATTACAACAAAATATGCAAAAACCTGGAGTTAGAAAACCATAAGAAATGAACATGCTCAGCATTTCTCAAGCTGAGAGAACTGATGAAAAAATTCAAGCCTTGACTTGTGACATTGAAGGATTCTCTGGGTAAATTATTGAATGATGCATTAAACATCATAAGAAAACAGAAGGAATATGTAGAGTCACTGTACCAAAAGGAAATGGTTGATGTTCAATCATATCAAGACATAACATATGAGCCAGTGATCCTGAAGGATTAAGTCCAAGGTGCATTGCAAACATTGGCAAAGAATAAGGTACCAGGAATTTATGAAATACAAATTGAAATCATTTAAGAAAGTGAGGCAGCACTGGAGACACTCACTATGTATGCCAAGAAATTTGGAAGACTTCTATCTGGCCAACTGATTGGAAGAGATTCGTATTTGTGCCCATTCCAAAAGAGGTGACCCAGTGGAATGCAGAAATCACTGGACAATGTCATTGATATCCCATGTGAGTAAAGTTTTACTAAAGGTAATACAGAAACAGCTGCAACCATGCATTGACAGAGAATTTCCAGAGGTTCAAGACAGATTCAGAAGAGGCCATGGAACGAGGGATATCATTGCTGACATCCAAAGGATCTTGGCTGAAAGCAGAGAATACCAGAAAGATGTTTACCTGTGTTTTATTGACTATGCAAATGCTTTTGATTGCGTAAATCATGACAAGGCATGGACAACATTTAGAAGTATGAGTATTCCGGAACACTTAATTGTGCTCATGAGGAACCTGTACATAGACCAAGAGGCAGATGTTCAAACAGAATAAGGGAACACTGAATGGTTTAAAATTAGGGAAGCTGTGTGACAAGGCTGTATTCTTTCACCATATTATTCAACCTGTATGCTAACCCAATAATCTGAGAAGCCGAGTTATATGAAGAAAAATATGGCATCAGGATTGGAGGAAGACTCATTAACGACCTGCAATAAGCAGATGATACAACCTTGCTTGCTGAAAGTGAAGAGGACTTAAAATACTTACTGATGAAGATCAAAGGCCACAGCCTTTGGTATGGGTTCCATCTCAATGTAAAGAACACAAAAATCCTCACCATTGGACCAATAAACAACAATCTTACCAACTGAGAAAAGACTGAAGTTGTCAAAGACTTCATTTTGCTCGATCAACCATCAACACTCATGAAAGCAGCAGTCAAGAAATCTAGTGACTTATTGTATTAGGTAAATCTGCTGAACAAGAACTTTTTAAAGTGTTGAAGAGCAAAGATGTCAGTTTTAGGACTAAGGTATGTCTGACCCAAGCCATGGTATTTTCAACAA